GATTCCTAATTGTCTTTCTCGTGATAAATAGTAGGCAAAATCTGATATGTAGCAGGGGGGGTTGATATCTGAGTTCATCTGACGCTGGATTCGAACTGAGTTCATGCTCGAACGTGTCAAAACATGTTAACATGCGTTTTATGAGCTGCACCACTGAGACTATTGAAGGAAATACAACATTTTACACCTATAAATCGCACTATTTCTCTTTTTAATCCACACAGTGCGATGTTCAGACTTAACTGTGTTAACCACATCAGCTAAACTCTCCCCACTCTATTTTTTTCTTTTGTTGTTATTTCCGGAGGACAAACGTGCAAATAACACAGTTTTTCTCCAGTCTAACCCTGAAAGCAGCACCTCCAATTCACATTCTGTTCAAAGTTTCTCTTCTTGCTTGCTTTTGCCATTGCTTTTTCGTTGGGTTATGCCAAAGTATAGTAATTAGCATATTCATACGGGGGAGGAGGCAGGGAGGGGTTTCACGTTCATTCGGATGTACAAAAGAATATGCAGGGGATTCGGCTTATGCAGTGTTTCATACATCTGAATTTTTTTCTGCGTACGCACATTTACAGCTTTGTGCATACGCAATGTTTTAGTAGGATTTCCACGCAAGTGGACGCATAGCCCTCGCTGTGGCCATCGGCGTCACACCTCTCAAAAATGTAACTACACATCGCAACGATGCGTAGCGCAAGCTCTGTGATTGGTCGGCTTGGTAGCGCTGACGAATGTGGGCAGGACCGAAAGTCACGCGAGTCCGTTGGAGCGAGTGTTTGGAGCTCCAGATGAAAAGATTAGTTTTGTGTTTACCTTATGATTGTAGTTGTTGCACGTTTGCTGATTCCAGCACACCAGCGAAAAAACTCGACACAGAGGAACATAAACACCTCACTGCCCGCTAGCATTTCGGAAGTGTTATTACAGAGGAACACAAACAGCGCGCAGAACTATACATTCGCCATTAAATTAATTTTAGCAGAGACGTAATTGCCAGTCATTTTCACATTAGTTTTTCAGTTAGGGACGAATATTAGAGTAGCCTAATAAAAATGTGTAGCTGGACATGGGACAGTCCCACAGTAATCTACACCAGCGGTTCCCAACAGGGGGGTCCCTGCCCACAAGGGGGTCTCAGCCAGCTATGTGGGGGGTAACGTCATATTTTAAAAAATTCTTGGCATTGGACAATTAGGAGAATGATCATGTTGCCTTATTCAATTTATCCCCTAGTTCAGTTGTCCTCAATCACCGGTCCGTGGATCAATTGGTACCGGGCCGCACAAGAAATCATTAATTATTTCCGTTTTATTTATTATCTGAGTCTAAACGACCTTTGATTTAGAAAAGTCTTTTATTTTGAAAAAAGACTGTACTCTCTCGCTTACAAATCGATCACTTGAGCGCACAAATTTAAACCAGAATCTAGCAAAATACGTAAGAAACAGATAAGAAATAAAATAAGAAAGAAACAAGAAACAGTCTTGGAGAAAGGCCCAGTTAAGGACCCACAAACTGCCAAAGTATGGATTTGCAACCCACATGCCAACATATCAGGTGAATCCACTCTGCAAGAAGATCAACTGATGAAGAGTTTGCATTGGCGGCGTGACGCTCACACCAATGAATCCCGCTAGCGCACTGCGAGTCATGTGAAAAGAATTGACCCATCAGCTTCAGCTTGTAAGGAATATTCACATTTCAGTAAGACTAACAATAACAAACGGAGAACACCCAAACACTGCAGTTCTTTGTAATTTTCTTTATAAGTAAAACTTGTATCAGAGAGTGACAGCAATGTTTTGTCAGCTTGTCATCCACTAAGAAAACGGTTGATGGCCGCCTAGCAACCTACGAAACACCTGTTGGAATATCCAGCCAACTCCATGCATGTTCAATAAGAAAAGGTCCGGAGAGGGTTTTCTTCAAATAAAAGAAATTAGTAATTTATTAGATACAAATGAATAATTCGATGACAGAGCTCAGGGTTGCGTTACCCCAATGCTATACAAGAATTACATTCAAGAGGTTCGCAACTAACATACATTTCCCTGTCTCTAGCATATATACACAACTGATATTAACAGGTAGGGTTTTGGTGTAACGTCACGTATCAGTCATTCAAAAGAGAAAGATTGATTAATCTGTTGTTAGTCTAAACATTTTTGTAATAAAAATTAAAGACATACAAGTAATAAAAACAAACTCCTTTTTTCCACACACACCCTGTCTGCGGTAAATTTGTCAAGCGTTGACTTTGGCTGTTTCTCAATATGCGTTCTTCAGCGGTCTTGCGTCCTCGTGTTCTCGTGCAACGTCATCATCAGCTGCCTAAGTTCAGTTCCAATACTCAAGACCGCAAGTACGGAGGACGCGTGAAACTTCCCGGATGTGATCTTGATATCAAGGACGCACTGATGCAGACTTGAGCACCGAACTCGCTCTGGAAGTCCCAGAAGTCATTGCAACTGGAGGTGGAAAGCGCTGCATTTTATCTAGATTTATTATTAAAGTTCAGAGATATCACTTATTTACCTCAGGAGTTTCCCTAAATGAAACGGTGAAAGTAAACATTAACATGAATATCTTAATAAAGGAATAAACACATTAAGGGTTGTTTGTTTGCTGAAAATCGTATTAAAATTTGTTTTATTTATATTGTGCAGAGTATATTTATAATGTTTTTATGCAAAGTATATATTTTGAAAAGGGGGGAAACAATAAATCGTTGTATGAGTGCTGTAATGTTTAAATTATTTAACATTTAAAACACGTGAAGATCATGTGACCATCAGGAAGAACGCAGCATCCCATTTCTCAAAGGACGCGTTCTCTGCCCTTGCGGTTTGTTCTTCCGAGGACACCTGGCAAGACCGGTCTCCACAAGAAAGCAAGTCTGTTCTCTGCGTTCTTGGAATTGAGAAACAGCCATAGTTTAGCTTCAACTTGCTGCAACACACTTGCCAGGAACTTTCTAGTGTATCTGGTAAGAGCTTGATCAGGCGTGTTTGATTAGGGTTAGAGCTAAACTCTCCAGGACACCGGCACTCCAGGACCCAAGTTTGGACACCCCTGTCTTAGATGATGCGAAGTCAAGTTTACAGTAATAAATTAAATAGATAGGCCTTTATAGTGTGTGATGTGGATTTGCAGCAGATCAACCTCTCATATGCGCTGCAGGTAGGCTGAAAGATAAACTTTAAAAAATATAGGCTTTACTGCTATTTCCTCGTGCAATATGAAACACCAGAACACATATTGTAGGCCTATTTTAAAAGCTTAAATCAGCATAGTTAGCATATCGATTTTATTTTGACTAGTAGCTCATGGCCCAAAAAATAAAAATGCAACCTGAAAACTTAAATTATTAAGATAGGCTAAATAAAATGACGAGTAGGCCTAAAAGACTAAATGGTTTATGGTGGCGTTTTTACAAATGCCAACAATTTCATGAAAAAAAAAACACTTATGATATGCTAACATAACTTTTTAATTTTACATTTAAAGTATTATATATTTTGTACAAAACGGAAATAAATAAAGAGAATAAAATATAATTTAAACCACTCGTTTGGCGCTGAAGCTGTGATCCGTCTGCGTTTTAAACCGTATCGTTGCATAACCTTCATTGATAAAATTAGTAACAGTGAAACTGTGCATATTATTACTATAAAAAAATGAATATAACTACCAAGGTAATAATAAATAAGTAAATAAATCGCCTAAATTAAAGAAACAAGAGGAACCAAAATAAGTCACCAGGTCTAGTGCCCCCTATGGGATTAAAATGCCCTGGCGCCAGGCCTGCTCTCTGTGCATCTGTGTTCTTATCTTGAGTATTTTTGTGAAGTATTTCCCCACTTCTCAAAACGTAAAATTATTTCCTTGACCGCCGCTGACCTAATCCAAATTAATGACGCAAATCCTCAGTTTGTGATACTAAATCAAAACATAAACTACTCCTTAGTGGTTCTCATCTGCCCGCCACCATTATCTCTCTCCTGTTCCCGCCAGGTGCCATATCTGTGATGAAACTCCCCTTTTATTATCTTCTAAGCATGGCATTCTAACCATTTCTAACAGACCATTTCTCATGGCTAATACAGACTTGAATGCATTCTATACTAATGCTAAGAATGCTTTACATGCCTAAATGCAAATAGTGACATGTAGATGTAAATAGCACATATACTTTAAAAATGAATCTCATTTGCCACAGCCATATCACCCTGCAGCCCAAAACCAGTTATTTACTGAAGCTAAGCAGGGCTGAGTCAGTACCTGGATGGGAGACCACATGGGAAAAATAGGTTGCTGTTGGAAGTAGCGTTTGTAAGGCCTGCAAGGGGGGGGGGCTCTCAACCTGTGGTCTGTGTGAGTCCTAATGCCCCAGTATACTGAAGGGGACACTATACTGTCAGTGGGTGCCATCTTTCGGATGAGACATTAAACCGAGGTCCTGACTCTCTGTGGTTATTAAAAATCCCATGGCACTTCTTGAAAAGAGTAGGGGTGTAACCACGGTGTCCTGGACAAATTCGCTCCCATCATGGCCTCCCAATCATCCCCATCCACCAAATTGGCTCAATCACTGTCTCTCCACTCCTCCTATAGCTGGTGTGTGTTGAGGGCACTGGCGCCGTTGGCTGCTGTCGTATCATCCAAGTGGATGTTGCACACAGGTGGAGGAGTGGGGTGAACCCATACACAATAAGTGCACTATATAAATACATTACATTTACTTCCTATTTGATGCGCTTGAGCTCAGCCACTCAAAACTCTCTCACACTTTTAAAAACGAAATGCTATTGGGATTTTTTTTTTAAATGGGAGGAGCTACTCTATGCCCCACCCTTTATTCATTTTTTCCAGTTGAAATGGCGTCCCACGTTAAACAAAAATCCACATTTTGAAGCAAAATCGTTATTGAATGTTCTGCTATAATTTTGTGACTGTGTTTATCAGGTTTTAATGAATTTGTAAACTGTTTTTCTCAGATATCTCTTGAATAACCCTGAAGTGTCTGCGGGCAAAAAAGTGCTGGATCTGGGCTGTGGTTGTGGAGCATCTGCCATTGCTGCCAGACTCAGTGGAGCTTCCTGTGTAGTGGCCAATGACATTGATCCAAGTCAGATTTATGGTTTCTGTATCTCAAATCCCACAGCTTTTGGCATTAGGATTTATGAAATTTTGCACAAAAAAATCTGTAACCATAAATATTTTGTCAGATATATTAGAAATCTTGCTATCAAGATTTTTACATTATTTTTTAATTACACTTAATGAAATGTATATATTAATGTAAATATTTAATGTAAAAATAAAATGTTATATCAACCTTATAAACCATTATAATGATGTATATTATATTATATTATATTATATTATATGTATTATACCATACTGCTGAATTATTATCATATATATATATGAGTATAACTCATCATTGTAACCACTAACCAGTAAATTACATAAATTGGTCAATTATTGATGTATATTTTACATGATTATAAATAAAATTTTTTAAATAATTATTTATATATTTTAACTGGCATTTAAATTATTAATATACTTTGAAATATTTAATTTTATTTTAAGTGATTTTAAATGGCAAAACATAACTTAATGTCAAGCAAATAAAAAACAAAGATTTATTAAGTTATTATTTTTTCTAAATATGCATAATAAATATATTAACATGTACAGTTGCATGAATGATTTAATCATCATAATATTCAATTCACATAAACCACGTACTACTTGATACATTTTCTAGCATACAAAAACACAATATTACATTAATAAATGGTAAACAATGAAACAATATTAACGCATTATGTATTAATGAAGTAATAAAACAATTATTTTAGTTTTACGGATTTAGTTGTATTTGACTATAACAACCATGGCATTCATTATTTAAAATAAAAATTAACTAATAAAACATTTAAAATGTATTTTTAAAAATCTTTTAGTTTAACGAACAGTAGCGAGAAAATAAAAATATAATAATATTATAAACAATTATAAAAATATACAATTACAATTTTTATATATAAATATATAATTATATAATATGAATATAAAATATGAATATAATTATAAAATAAAAATAATTGAAAAAATATATATATATTAAAAAAAATATATATATATATATATATATATATATATATATATATATATATATATATATATATATATATTGCTCCAGTCATTGCTGTTATTACTATTACCATTAATAATAATAATAATATTAATAATAATATTAATAAATATTAGTGTGATTTCTGAAGGATCATGTGACACTGAAGACTGGAGTAGTAAAGTTAAAAATTCATCATTAAAATCACTGGAATAAATTATTTAAATCAATTATAAACTACTTTTGAACAGTTTTTTATAGTGCAATAACATTTCACAATTTTACAATTTGTACTGTATTTTTTATTAAATAAATGCAGCTTTGAGGAGCAGGAGAAACATTTTAAAACATTTAAAAATCACACTGATCCCAAACTTTTGACCGTTAGTATATATATATATATATATATATAAATATATATATATGTATGGGCGAGACAGTGGCGCAGTAGGTAGTGCTGTCGCCTCACAGCAAGAAGGTCGCTGGGTCGAACCTCGGCTCAGTTGGCATTTCTGTGTGGAGTTTGTATGTTCTCCCTGCCTTCACGTGGGTTTCCTCTGGATGCTCCGGTTTCCCCCACAGTCCAAAGACATGCAGCACAGGTGAATTTGGTAGGCTAAATTGTCCGTAGTGTATGTTTGTGAATGTTTCCCAGAGATGGGTTGCGGCTGGAAGGGCATCCGCTGCGTAAAAACTTGCTGGATAAGTTGGCGGTTCATTCCGCTGTTGCGACCCCGGATTAATAAAGGGACTAAGCCGACAAGAAAATGAATGAATATATATATATATATATATATATATATATATATATATATATATATATATATATATATATATATATATATATATGTATATACATACAGTTAAAGTCAGAATTATTTGCCCCCCTTTGAATTTTTGTTGCTTTTTTTTTATATTTCCCATATTATATTTAACAGAGCTAGGAAATTTTCACAGCATGTCTGATAATGTTTTTTCTTCTGGAGAAAGTTTTATTTGTTTTATTTCAGCTAGAATAAAAACAGTTTTTAATTTTTTAAACACCATTTTAAGGGAAAAAATAAACAGGGGTTCTAATAATTCAGGGGGGCTAATAATTCTGACTTCAACTGTATATATTATACATATGTTTGTGTGATTTAAATTAAGTATACAGTTTTTATATTTTATTCATTAATTTTAAGACACTTTCTTAAAAAACTTTCTTATATATATATATATATATATATATATATATATATATATATATATATATATATATATTTATTTATTTATTTATTTTTTTTAATTGCAGTTGCTGCCATTGCCATAAAAATGAACTGTGAACTGAACAATTTGGCGCCCTTACCCTGTGTGACAGACAACCTGATTGGCTCAGAGACTGATGGCTGGGATCTCATTCTTCTGGGAGACATGTTTTACGATGAAGCTCTGGCTGATGGACTGCACCAGTGGCTCCAGACGTGTACAAACACACACGGGACACAGGTGCTTATTGGTGACCCCGGACGAGCTCAGTTTGAAGATCACAACATCAGGAGGTCGCTGCATCAACTGGCCCACTTTCAGCTGCCCGATTCAGTCAAAGAGGAGAATTATGGATTGACAAGCAGCGCTGTGTGGAGATACAACTGCAAGCCGGATCATTAGCAGCTTATGCATTCATGTGTATGTGAACATAATCTATGTAAATTAAAGATTCTTCCAGACTTGGGCTACATTTTAAGCAGTTACCATTCGTTTTCCTTAAGCCTTGTCAGCTGCCAGGCTGGGATGATTTTGAGTGTTAATTTGACCACAACTTTCTCTGTGCAAATGGAATTCTTTTTGGTGACATCTTATTTTGACACATTCAGAAAATGCTCTGAAATTCTTCAAAAACTTAATACACTCTGGACAAATTTTATTATGCCGGTGGCTAATTTTGTCACATTGACCTCCATTACAACAACATTTTTGATTCCAAAGCAATGAGATCATATAATCATGTGTTCTTGATTGTTGCTTGTTTTCCCTGTCAGGAGGTAGAGAGGGTTAAAAATGGGTATAGTTGTAGTCTTTACGTCAGTATTGCTAACGAGATGTGCCTAAATACGTATACAAACATTATTTTTAAAATTGTTCATATATATATATATATATACATACATACAGTTGAAGTCAGAATTATTAGCCCCCCTTTTTTTCTCTCTTTTTTAAAATATTTCCCAAATGGTGTTTAACAGAGCAAAGAAGTTTTCACAGTATTTCTGATAATATTTTTTTCTTCAGGAAAAAGTCTTATTTGTTTTATTTTAACTGGAATAAAAGCAGTTATTAATTTTTTAAACACCATTTCAGGGACAAAATTATTAGCCCCTTTAAGCAATTTTTTTTTCCCGATAGTCTACAGAACAAACCATCATTATACAATAACTTGCCTAATTACCCTAACCTGCCTAGTTAACTTAATTAACCTAGTTAAACCTTTAAATGTCACTTTACGCTGTATAGAAGTGTCTCAAAAATATCTAGTCAAATATTATTTACTGTCATCATGGCAAAGATAAAATAAAACAGTTATTAGAGATGAGTTATTAAAACTATTATGTTTAGAAATGTGTTGAAAAAAATCTCTTCATTAAACAGAAATTGGGGAAAAAAATTAAACAGGGTGCCAAATAATTCAGGGGGGCTAATAATTCTGACTTCAGCTGTATAATATATATATATATATATATATATATATATATATATATATATATATATATATATATATATATATATATATATATATATATATATATATATATAAAATATATATATATATATATATATATAAAACACACACACACACACACATTAAGTGAAAGCAGATCAATAAACTCACTACAGTTGACTGAATATTGCAGCTGTTGGACAACATAATGTACTTTTGAGGCTTTTTAGTTGAGTATGTAGTTGTTTAGATTGCAACTATGCAGTTTATTTATAAGGTTAGTGCCTATTTTAAATATTTATCATTTCAGAGATTCATCGCTTTGGCGGCCATCAGGCTGTCATTCTGAGCAGAGCAAAAAGGGTTAACGGTCCGCCACAACATGGAGACAGAGACCACATAATAAGTGCTTAAGGGGAAAAAAAATTCATATTACAGCTGATCAAATCAAAACAGGTACATGACACTTTAAGTCGATCTCTCTCTTTTGTATATTGTAAAGCTGTATTTATACCATAGTAATTTGGTAGTTTTCTTTGCTTTGGCTTTTTTTAGGGTAAATTATTTTGATCTCCCGATTGCAGTTGAAAAACACAGGGAAATCTCTGTAGACTGATGGCATTAGTCACATGTTTTGTCATCACCTTAGACATTATCTTAGAGAATCGTTCAAATAGTAGCTCTAAAAAGCATTGGTGAATTAGTAACCGTTTCTGCTGTTCTGACGTCAGCGGCAGATGTGAAAGAATAGCGGAAGGAAGTAGTTCCTCATGCAAAAGGATTTTTAGACTCTCCGTGTTTGATTTTCTTTTTTATAAACATGATTATGCTGTCGAACTGTTGTATAAACGCAATATCACACGAGTAGCAGTGCAATATGGCTGTATATCATCACTAAAGCACTGGGGCCAATGCACGCCTCCCACCAGTGGCACTATACAGCTATATCACACTGCTACGAGTGTGATATTTCTTATATATATATATATATATATATATATATATATATATATATATATATATATATATGTTTTATTATTTATATACTATAAATAATAAAACAGGTTTAAACAAAACATTTAATAATATATAAATATCTAAACTCAGAAATAAACAAATATGAAGCATCACATGTTGAGCAAGTCTTAAAATGAAGAAAAACAATTTATAATTTTTTTTCTTTTCGCCATCACCACTCATGAATGTTGTTTGAATTTACATGCACAAGGTGACCATAGAAACATAAGTAGTTTGCCCTTGTTTAATGTCGTGATTCAAGTTTATTCACGGCGTTGCACACATGCATTGGTCGAAACGTCCTTTTATTGTTATCTGAGTTCTAATTCATTTTTGCTGTAGGAAGGAATTAGGAAAAAAGGAAATTGTAGTTGTATTTTCAATAGGAAACTGATTTCTAGTGACGGTTATAATTATTTAAACCGTAAAATATTATTGAAGGTAGACCGCTGGAAAGCCACAAGTTTTTGGTCAAAGAGCCACATGTTGCTCACAAGCCATAGGTTCCCTACCACTGCTCTATTGTCTTTAATTAAATACCTTTAACAACACTCTAAATCAGTGGTTCTCAAACTGTGGTACGTGTACCACTGGTGGTTCGCAGAGTAATCCAATATATTATATGTACATGCAAATTTAAAAATGTATCAAAAATGTTTCATATATGAATATGATGACATATAGCCTATATTTATGAGGTCCAAGCAGCATTTCCAGGCTTTGATGAATAGGATGCTATAGGTTAACACTTTACATTAAAGTACAGGAGATTTGTTTTACTTTTTAAGAACAGTAGCTTATAATTTTTAAAGAACTTTTAAAAGCACATTTTAATTTAAACGTTCACATTTTGTTTTGTTTTTTTTACATATAAGCACAGCAGTGTTAATGTTCAAACTATTTATAAGGTTTAAAGTGGCAGATAATAATAAATATGATTAATAATAGTAATAAATCTGCCATGTTTTTAAACTGTGCAGAGCAGTAGCTGCTTAGGCCTACTACGTGACTGTATTTTATTACAGGTCATATGGTGGTACTTGGAGGGACAATTTTTTCTGAGGTGGTACTTGATGAAAAAAAAACTTGAGAACCACTGCTTTAAATAATACTTCTGAAAACTACTTATAATGAGTTGAAATAACCCAATTCTTGAGTTTTTGGAGGGACAACTTAATTGGTTTATGTTCCATCCACTTAAATTCGTAAAAAAAATAATTGTTGGATAACATGAAGGAATTGTGTGTAAACCTGCATTTTTACATTGAAGAACAAATTCTGAGGTAGAATACTGTAATGTAATATTTTTTATATAGTTTATATACATACTCGGCATATACGAGTACACTCAATTTAAAAAATTTATATTTTTATCCATTTCTCAGTGAATATGGGTTATATATATTAATGCATTTTAACAAAAACAGATGTATTAAACATATATATTTAATAAAATAATATTTTAGTCACCAAACATTTTTAGAAATGAAAAGATAATACAATTAAATTCAAGCAAAATATTGCAAAAAAAAAAAAAAAGATCCCAAACTACAACATTTCAACAAAATAATATATATTTTTTGATTTTTATACTTTTATATATTTATATTTTGATGATTTGTAGTAAAAAAAAAAAAAAAAAAAAAATATATATATATATATATATATATATATATATATATATATATATATATATATATATATATATATATATATATATATATAGCTCCAGATGTGGCTTCAGTTCTGACTAAACTAATGTATATGCACAAAGATAATATTGTTAAGCATCCTACAAAAAATATTAATTTAAATGAGATATTTGTGGGGGTTGTACTTATATATGCTGAGACCTGTAACTATTGTATGAAATATTAGTTAAAAACTTGAAAATGAAGTACCAATAAAACATTCTTACATTATATATAATATACTTCTTGTTATCATTTTAAAACTCTCACATACATTTACATGTTTACCAATGTACCTTGTTTTCAACATATTTAAGAACTCATGTATTTTGTTGCAACACTGTAAATATAGTTCAAAATATTGCTAAATGCTAATGAATAATTACTTAAATACATAATAAATCTGTATTATTATGCAAAAACATTTTTAAACATGCGTTAAAGTTAGGTTTAAATTTAATACATTTCATAAGTTATACACTTCCGTTTCATAAATACCTGATGCATGAAACATTCTTGAACAAAGAATGTCAATTTATACATATAATTATTATATATTAATGTTGAAAAAACACATTCTTACATAATTACAACATGTTAAATGCATTAAACTCACATTTACAATACAAACACCAGTGCCTAATGCTGTAAAATGCATCGATTTAATCATTTCACCTCAAAGACTGAAGATTTAAATAGTAAAATTTGGCATTTGGATTATGTCTATATGACTAAATAAGTGCAATACATTTATGACACTAAAGTGAATGTGCTGTACTTCACCTCCGTTAATCACTGCGAAAGACATTAGTACACAGTCCAAGACACTTGTTGGATCTTGTTGGGGCCGATAAGGTTTTGTAGTGCCTCTCTTGATTTATCTAAAAAGAAAAAAAAAAAAAAAGCATGACAGAAAAAATTACATATTTGAACAGCTCTATACATTGCATTATGATGTCAAGAAACACATTGCTACCTGTAATCAAGGGACATCCATGGAAATTGAAAATTCTGATGTTGGCGCAGTTGGTAAGAACAGCAGTCACAGCTAGATCAGTCAAATTGCGACATCGTACCATTTGTAACTCCTATAAAAATAAATAGTTCATTATAATATAGTTTAAAAATTGGTTATAGCCAATAATAATAATAATAAATAGTTAATTCAAAAATATGACCACTTTCACTTTATATCAAGTGGCCTTAAATACTTTGCACTTGCATTGAATGTAATCATTTGGTACTGATAGATTGTATGGCTTGTTTCATATGCAAACACGTATCTGCATCTGAAAAGGTGTGAACCAAAGGGTCTACAGC